GAGAGAGAGAGAGAGAGAGAGAGAGAGAGAGAGAGAGAGAGAGAGAGGGTTGCCGCAGCTTATTTTTAAAGCGAAAGATACCACACCCCAGTGGGCTGGTATCTCAAAGGCTATTGGCTGAAGGAGCAGAAGGTGCTCCTGCAGCACACAGAGGCCTACACTAATTATAAACTGGTTGGCCTATTAGTTCAGGCTTCTTATTGACTAACTGTTACATCTGAACCCATAATTATTGTCTATGTTAGCCATGTTGCTTGGTACCTTTTATCAGTGAGGCATTTTCATCTTGCTTCCTCAGCATCTGGGTGACGACCAAAGACTGGGCTTTTCCTTTTCCCAGAATTCTCCTGTTCTGGTCACCCCACCTATACTTCCTGACTGGCTACTAGCCAGTCATCATCTTATTAAACCAATACAAGTGACAAATCTTGACAGGCTATACCACCATTGTCCCTCGAAAAATGAAACTTTTAGTTTCAAGTCCATTTTGTTAGATATTATGATAGCTACACCAGCTTGTTTCTTAGGCTCATTTGATTGGAAAATATTTTCCCAACTGTGACATGATTAATAAAAACCCTGAAATGGATATTGGGGTTCAACCTGAAGACCAGAAAAGAAAAGCAGCTGTCCATTGGCACTTACCTTTATCTCAGTCCAAAAATGGCAATTCTGCCTCCAGGAATCCTCACAATGAGGCTGTGCTGAAACTGGTCTCTTCCTGGCATATATTCCACTCAAGGGCTGGGACTAAAGGTGTGTTCCATTGCTTCCCAGTTCCCATGGCAAACTAGTGTGGCTATTGGGGTTAAAGGTGTGTGTCACCACTGCCTGATCTGTAAGGCTAACCAGTGTGATTCTTTTACTCTCTGATTTTCAGGCAAACTTTATTTATTAAAATACAAATGAAATAACACTACATTTGCCTGTTTTGTCTAAAATAAAAAAGAAGGCTATAACTAATATAAGAAAAACTATATACAACAAATCTAATAACTAAATACAGTATATACAGGCAAAAAGATGTATATTCTGTTTGCATTTCACAAATTCAGAGAAAATACTCAGTATCTATCCTATCTTGGTGATTCCAAAGTCTTGTACCTAGTATACTTTCTATCATAAATTACTTTCTGTGTCAGGTAAACAAGGAAAACTATAACTCTCATTGTCTAGTCTTCTACTCCCTCAGAGATCCAAGAAGAAAATAATATTAAATGAGTAAGAAGGAAGTGTAAGCAAGGAAATTACAAAAATAAAGTGCGAAATGACAAAAACATCTGGCTGTTTGGACAGTACCCAAAGGTCCTCTGCAATGTTGGGTCATCTACCTTGGGCCTAGGCCTAATATATCCAGAAGACTATCTTGTGAAAGGATATTCTGAAGTGCTGTTCCTCTTTGTCTTGACAGTGTTTGACAATCACTTTCTTTGGTGTCCTGCTTGTCCAGTTAGGACAGCATATTGTCAGCATTTGAAGCAAGGGTATTTTCATGCCCAGGGGTTTATTTTTGCCACAGAGAAATTAAACTCGATGAGGAGTTTCTTCTACCTCAGTTCAAAAATGATAATCCCACCTCCAGGAATCTCAGATTGAGATTGAGCCTGAGAGCTGTCTCCTTCCATTTTATATTCCTTTCTAGTGCTGAGATTAAAGGCGTGTTTAAACTACTGCCTGGTTTCTAAGTCAAACTAGTGTAGCTAGTAGGATTAAAGGTTGTGCCATCACTGTCTGGTGTTTATGGCTGATCAGTGTGGCTGTTTTACTATCTGATCTTCAGGCAAGCTTTATTTATTAAACTACAAATGACATATCACTATACCCAACCTTTTACTTGGAGGTAATATCTATCTTTGAGGTGTGTTTCATGTATGCAGCAGAAAAATGGATCCCATTTTTTTTATCCATTCTGTTAACCTCTGTCTTTTTGGCAAGTGAATTGATGGTGTGGGAGAATTGTCTGTATTCTGTCAATCATGTATTTTAATAAAACACTGATTGGCCAGGCAGGAAGTATAGGTGGGTCAACAAGACAGGAAGTAGAGGCGGGGCAATGAGAATAGGAGAAGGCTAGGGAGAAGGAAGCTTCCTCAGCCATTCCTGCCCAGATCATTGAAGAAGCAACATGTGAGCTACCCAGTTAGAAAAGGTACTGAGCCATTTGGCTAACGTAGATAAGGATAATGGTGTAACATAAGTTATAAGAGCTAATACTGACCTAATGGGCCAATCAGTTTATAACCTAATGTAGACTCCGTGTGATTTTCTTTGGGACTCACTGGCTGTGGGGTACCGGGCGGGACAGATACCCCAGCCAGCCAGCCCTCATGTTACACATTGATATTAAGAGATATTAATGATCAGTGTTTGTTAATGTTATTTTTTTTTCATTTTTGGTAATGATGGTGGTAGAGTGTATGTGTGTTTCCATTCTCTTGGGTTTGCTGCTATGAGGTTATCTATTGTCTGCTTTTGTAAATACAGCTAATTTCCTTGGGTTGGAGTTTTCCTTCTAGTATTTTGCACAGGGCTGGATTTTTGGATAGGTATCATTT